CAGCAGGCAAGGGCAGTTAGGGGTGACCAGGCTGACAGAGGAGGAAGTTGGGACAACTGGGTCTGCAGGGAAGGGCAGTTGGAGGGACCCAGGTCTGCAGAGAAAACCAATTGTGGGGGGACCAGGCCTGCAGGTGAGGGCGGTTAGGAGTGACCAGGCCTGCAGGGGAGGGCAGTTTGGGGCAATCAGGCTGGCAGGGGACAGTTAGGCATCAATCAGGCTGGCAGGGGAGTGGTTAGGGGCAATCAGGAAGGCAGGCAAGCAGTTGGGAGCCAGCAGTGTTGGATTGTGAGAGGAATGTCCCAGATTGGAGAGGGTACAGGAGTTCTGTGCACTGGACCTCTAGTCTTTATAAGTAAAAGCCTAAGCGACCTTTATGAGCAGATGACTGGCCGGTAGCAATGTGCACTGACCACCAGGGGGGCAGATGCTCAAAGCAGGAGCAGCCCCCTGATGCTCAGTGTGCTCCCACAGCCAACCTCCCATGATCTCTTCCCCCAGCTGGACAGCTCAATTGGCCCAATCACCAAGCCAGGTCAAGGGACCCCACCCATGTATGAATCTGTGCACTAGGCCTCTAGTAAGATATGAAGAAGATGGCATTGGTTCTTTCAGAACTACTTATATTTCAAAAGGCAATTTAAAACTAATTTCTTATTAGTAAAGTTCTAAGAATGGCAAGAAGATAACCTATAGCTCTGTATAATTCTAAACTCTCCAAAGACGAAATAACACTCTTTTTGTAACTTCCCTCATCAATTGAGACTGGGAAGCTGCATAACTTCCTGGTATGCACTATCCTTCCTTGGGGGAAGATAGAGACAGTTTCCTCCCTCTCCTTGGCCTACATTGATTTCTTCTCTTTTTGATACTCTAAGACTGAACTCTAAGAAAGCCATCCCAATTAATTACCTGGGAACTTGCCATTTGTAAGCTAACTGGTCCTTCCCCCAAGTAGCTAATAATACCCATGGGTCTTTTGTTAAGAAGCTTTGGAAACTTAAGTATAAACAGATACATAATCCTTTCTTTCCTTTCGTTAATAGCTCCCTTGCCCCACACTTCCTCCTATAAAAACCTTCCATTTTGTACAACACTCAGAATGCCCTTCTAATTGCTAGATGAGATGCTGCCTAATTCATGAATCCCTTAATAGGGCCAATTAGAGATTCACATTTACTCGGTTTAATTTTGTTTTTTAACAGTAAATAAATAGGCCTAAATACACTCAGCCAGCACCGTATGACATCATAAGTCCCCCTGTCTGCACACATGGACTCTCTGGTTTCTACAACTTATATAAACGGTGACAGTATGGGATACCGAAGACCTTTGCAGCATTTGGCGTGGAAATTCTTGATATAGGGTAGGATGCATTAAAAGCTATGATTGATTTACTTATTAAATGAATCACAAACTAAGTAACTATATTTTTCCAGGAAGAACCTTCTATTTTTAATTCTAAAATAAAGAATGTCACTTTTTTAAAAGTTAAAAACTCATAGCAGTGTAATTTGAAATAAGTATTATCTGTGGCATACTTGAAATCCAAGGCTACTCTGTTGGCCTTGGTAAATTATGCCTCCCGCGATGCATTGTGCAAAGTCCTCCAAACCAATTTGGAGCACACATGAGAGTCTCTTGAGGAATCAAGTAAGCATTAGAGCAGTCCCATTTTGTTAACCAATTGTTTGCTTACTCAAAGCAATATTGATGTCATTTTCTCTGAATAGTTGAAATTTTTTAAGCTTTCTCAACTCTGTGTTTCCTGGCATCTGCCCGAAAGAGAGCAGATGCTTACTTATTTTATATAACAGCATTAAGAATCCAACTCTTCAACCTTATGTATTTAGAGTCTTATCAAGTTACCATGACCTTTCAGTATGAATTCACACAATTTGTGGCTGTTTTTCTTCCACTTATCTTATTGAAAACTTAATGTTTCTCTCATGACAAAGGGCTTTAGCATTTTCCTTGGAAGTTCAGGAAATATTAATTTTCTTTATTAAGCACTGACTATACTTTGGTGGTTAATGCTATTCAAACAAATGGGGTGTACCATGGTGATTTATTTTTCTTTTTATCATTACTGGTTTTGTTAATAATCAGTAGAAAAAAAAAAATCCTTCCTGTAACTTAATATGAATTGCTAGATCCTACCAGAAATCAATTCTCTAAAATAAGGGAATATTAGACAGGAGAGATTGACATTAAGCAGAAGTAGGAAAATAAGATTATTTCTCCTTTATTGGATAGAGGTGGGGGCATGTATAATCTGGATGGGGATGAAAGAGGGAAGAAAGAAGATGAAGGACTACAGACCCAGGTAATCATAAGAAGAAAACATACACACTGTACCGCCCCTAAGTTCTATACCTACACTATGAGTTGAAATATGACCTAGCAATAAGATAAAATTAGCTCATAAAGGTGTCTTTATAATTCTCTCAAAAATCTTGACAAACTAAAATTATAATGTAATGTAAGTATCTGCTAACAACTGTCAATAATAATTATGCAAAGCTTATGATTAAGGAGACAGGTGTGGTAGAGGAGAAAGAAAATTAAATGGATAATCACTTAATAAGATAATATATTCAAAAGTGCTGCTATAAACTTTAAAGGATTATGTAAATATTACCTATAATTATTTTTATTATTAATCTGTAACCAAGTAGAAGTAAAAAATAATGTTGTGTGTATGTCTCAATAAGTATTCAATCAGAATTATTTAATTATAATGTAACTTTAAAGTGTTATCTTTCCCATTAGAACATTATACTACATAATATCAAGTATTTCTTATTCACTATTGTATCTCCAGTTCATTGATAAATGAATGAATATAATATGAACTGCTATGACAATTTACTAAGGAGCTGGACTACAAAAACAATGGTTCCATTAGCATATGTGGTCTAGGAAAACATCAGTCCTCATGTCTAAATATCAATGTTTACGTATTGACACAAGTCCTAGGATTTTAGAAGTGGGGAAAACATGCTTCAGAACCACATGCTCTCTATTCCCATCCTTAACAGATCTGTCTGTTGTGCCTAAAATCATACTGTAGACTTTCTATATATTGAGTCAGGAAAGATCAGATGAAGAACGCTTTTTTTAACCCAGCAGTCCAACAGCGATCAGATGCCCAACATTTCCATCTTCAAGGGCATCGGCTCTAAGTACCTATAGTTCAAAGTTTCCCAGTGAAAAGCAGCTAAAATGTATGTTCAGCTAAGAACAATTGTGATTAACAAAACTACTTCTGAAAGAAAATTTTCTTCTCCAAGAACACAAGTTGAAGGTGTGTCTCCGCTCATTAGAGCTCCTCAATCCATGTCTCTGCCTAAGCCAGCCTTAATTCTTCAGGACTTGCCTAGTTTGAAAGGGGTTAGGACAGACTATGGCAGTGCCTATCCTAACTAATAAGTCATACCTGCTACTGATTTGAGAATTTTAAAAAAGTCAACAATTTTACAGATGTTAGTGATGCTGCAGGTATTCCAGATCTCAGCCGAGGAAAGAGAATTATGAAAGACACCAGGCAATATTATAAGTATTGACATAAGAAGAACGTGTAGACAAAAGGCAAAAACTAGACCTCTGTCTTCTCTCATATTTTGCTACTGGCTATCCTATAAGTGAGGGAGTAGCAGTACAGGTAGGTGGGGCATGGTGATGTGTGATGTGGACCAGGCAGAAGCTGAAAAAGATGACATGGCTAAGCCTGGGTTAAGGCACTGTGTAGGACTATATATGTTTAACTTGTTTATAAATTGCATTACCAAGAAATTATATAAAAGACCATTCTTCTATAGTATGAGTAAAAGAGGTGAGGTTGTGAATAAAGAAATGTTAGAAAACTGTTTTAAAGCTTTCTTTGTTTTTCCTCCTTTTATAATCCAATAAAGAAGATGATGGCAATTCCCAGGTTCACACCAATTTAGGCAGTGAGATAAACAGGTTCAGGAGAGGAAGGTTTTTCTGAACTACATACTCTGTTTCTTCCCAGAAATGGCTCAAAGAATGTTGGGTAACTTTTCAACGTCCTTGTTCTTTCCTTAAAAGCTGGCGAATATTTTCCACAAGGTACAATATTTCCATATCTCAAAAAATCATTGGTTTTTGGAAATAAGAGCAAGGTGTAACAAAAAAGAGTCTTAGATTAAAAAAAAAAAAAAAAAAAAAAAAAAAAAAAAAAAAGAGGGCTGAATGCCAGTTGTATCCCTCAGTCTTTATGAGACCTTACACAAGACCCTAAACTCTCTTAGCCACTCTTTCAACTGGGGGGATGTCTTCCCCAAGGGGACAAAAATTGGTTGGGACCCAGCCAACATGGCAATGCGGTTAAGCATTGACCTATGAACCAGGAGGTTATGGTTCAATTATCAATCAGGGCACATGCCTAAGTTGCAGGTTCGATCCCCAGTGGGGGGGGTGGGGGGGATTAAGAGGTTCAGGAGGCAGGAGATCAATGATTCTCTTTCATCATTGATGTTTATTTCTCCTCCCCCTTTCCCTTCTTCTCTAAAGTAAATAAAAATATTTTTAAAAATTGGTTTGGGGCTAGAGAGCATAACATTTTATTCTTTATATGTGTAAAACAAAAATACATATACATAAATGAGACATACATAAATGAGCAATGCTTTTCTAAGTCTTTCAACTGTAAATATGGGTCAGCATCCTCCAACTTAAAGGATTATTATTATATAAATATATACAGAGAATGAGAGACTGGAAATAAAGCAAGCAGAGAAAACAACCAAATGCAGAATACCCATTAAAATATAATTAAAAATACAAAGATTCAAGTAACTATAGATTAATATAATCTAATAATCAATTGTATAATACTAATAAGATAATTTTTGACTCACTAGTTATTTTCTCAACTGAGCACCTAACCTCCAAAAAAGAAAACATACAGTCATTGTAAAAATCAAACAATAAATGCAAAAAGAATACATATTAGTAAATGTGGCAAAGATACAAACCTAAAACACCAATTTTAAGGCCTGCCAAGCTTGTTTTAATTTTATCATATATATCTTCGGATGCAAAGTCAGCAGCAATGGTCTTTGTTTCCACTTTGAATTTTTCTCCTGGGGAGAAAACACAAATGGGGAGAGAATTAATACATGGCAATTAAGCACTTAATGCCATTATCCTTCCAAACTCTTTTTACCCCCTAATTTGATATAAAATTTAGACCAGGATAATTTCAGGCAACCATGAGGTGATCTAAGAGATTATATAAAGACAACACAATAGTCCCACAATAAAATTCAAATGTCATAGAGTTGGCTGGATGTTCCTTAATCAGTTCTCTTTCCAAAAATCAATGACTACTTTTTAGACCCTTAGATACAAATAATAATACATGATTCAAATTGTAATGTTATATATTCTTTAAATATCACTGGCTTTGCAATTTTAATTACAAACTGATGCTTCATTATCTCAGGTAGAAGTCTTTATGCTGTAATATATTTTTAAGTGTGATATATTAAAACAAAAGTTCATCTTATTAAAATGAAAACAAAAGTAATAGGATTCCATTGGAATTTAAAGGCTCGGTTAATAGTTAGTAGTCACTACATTTAAAAATCCACACACAATAGAGACAGAGCTACAAAGTGACACAAGAAAGACTTCACAAGACCATGGAGTTCCAAACAGAGCTCATGGAAATAACAGAATGAGAAATAAGACCATGGAAAAAGGGGACTCATCTGATGTAACCATACTGTTTATGCCTGCCTGCACTAATAAGTCCTTTTGAGAAGACAGCATAGATTGTGAGGTCACCCAGACATGGGTACCAATTTCATTTCCACACTCACTTGTTAAATGACTTTGACATCCCTTGTCTCTGTGTGAGGCTCAAGTGTTATCTACTGGCATACAGGAGGCACTCCGTAAAACTCTCCCCTTTCTCTCCTCAACTAATCCATGCTCACATCACTTTGTGAAGTTCAGTGGACTAAGAAAGCTTCTCTTTGGAACTGATGAGAATTGATTTAAAAATCCAGTTTCTAAAACGAAATGATTCTCCATTTGCACGCAGTCAAGTAAGTTAGCGCATCACAGAGTGTGCCACACTAACCCAGGAAGATTCCACTCCTGATCTAAAGGATTTATGTCTGAAACTAAAGAGCCAGTTCACAAAGGATGTGGTTCTTGATTAGACTCAATGAAAAGTACTGACCCCAGGAATTCATGAATAAGCCAGGGGGTAATAATTGTATGGCAAATATCTTGCCTGCTGGGAAAGACATGCTTACTATTCCACATAAGTAAGTTACTATATGTGCTCATGAAATGGAGAGCCAGACAGACACAGAGCTGTCATTTCACATTAGAGGATCCAACATGTCTCACTACAAATGGTTCGCAGAACTCACCACAAGTAAGTAAATATCTTTTATTAGAGCCACAAATTCATAAGGGGGGAGAGGGAAAGAGGAGACAATATCAGAAGGCTGAAGAATACCTTTTATTAACTGTAAAATAGGATAAATTTATCTCTTTATTTTGAGAAAACCAAAGTATGTTGCCATACTAGCACCATATACTGACATTTAGGAAAATTTCTCTCTAGTAATAAAAGCCACTTCACAAGCCCTTAGTCAAATTTATTCTTTCAAATCTCATAGGATGTACTTATGTTGCAGCCTGATATAGACATGCTGCTAAAAAAAATTCAGAGACGCTTTTGGAAAGAACATTATTTAGTAAGAACCCACAAGTAAACTCTTTCTTTGTGTTCACATTAGAATAAGCAAAATGGCTTCTGATGCAAGTTTTTCAAGATAAATAACATTATGAACGTACACCATGATTACTGTGAATCATGTTCTGGTGTGGTTAGCACTGCTGCTTTTCTCCTAACTTACCTTCACTGCCTCTAGTGTAGGCTTTCTCTTTTTTTAACGTAGGTCAGCTCATGCCCCTCTCCTCCTCACAAACCTCCCAGAGTTCCATCTCACTCACAGTAAGACCCAAAGTCCTGGGCAACAACCTAATACTCTTTGAACTCATCTCCACCTACTTCTCCCCCAGTTGCTCCCTAGCTCCAGCTCAGAGGCCCCCAGCAGTTCTTTAAACACACAGTGGCCTCAAATACACTCACAGGCTTTTGCTCCCTCTGCCTGGAATGCTCTTCTGCATCCCTTATCTCCGCTGAGTCTTTAAACAGATGTTACCTTCTCAGTGAAGCCTCCTTTGACCACCCTTTAAAACTGTAAGCACTCCTCCCCTAGCAATTTTTGTCCCCCTTCCCTGTTTTGTTTTATCCTGCTGCATTGACCGCCCTCTAATACACCATGTATTTTCATAATGTGTGTGTTTGCTGTCTGTTCCCACCAGAAGTAAGCTTTGTGAAGACAGGACCTGATTGCTCCTAACTGCTTCTGCCTTGGCCCCCGCCACCTCGGCTTCATCCGGAATGACATCTGGAAGGTCGTTCGGCTGTCTGGTTTAATTAGAGTATTACGCTTTTAGTATACAGATTTTTCTGTTCTTTCATAATACGCTAGCTTTAATCATTCTAGCCTTAAGATAAATTTTAATATTTCTGACAATGCAAGTCTCCGTTATTATTACTCTTTTTCAAAAGTTTATTGGTTATCCTCACTTCTTTAGACTCAGTTTTTATTGGGACTGCATGAAACATTTCAATTAAATTTATGAAGAACGACAATGTGTGGCATTCCTCCAGGCTCTCCATTTACTCAATGTCTCACAAAAATCGTGTGGTTATAAGTTCTTCAAGAAATTAAACAACTAAAGAATTCCACTATTAGAATACTACACATCATTATACAAAGATACTCAATGCTGCTAATTATTCCTACTGATTTGAACCACTCAGTATTTGAAATTGGATGGGCCGGCATCCTGCTACTTACAGTTGTGGCCAAATACAATCATGCCTCCCTCCCATTCTGAGATGGTCTTGGCCCACTGTCTCTCAGCCTAGTGGATGAAACCAGAAACTAAGAAGCAAAAAACCCACAACTTTGATGATTGATATGAGATATTCAAGGCAATCAACTTACTAGAAATGGAGGCAAAAATCAACTCTGGCTTAAATGGTAGAGAATGAAACTAAGAAATAGCTGGGCTGATGATACCAGTCATTCCCTTTTTATCTACTATCCCACTGAAAACCACATAACCATAGTTGTGGAATTACAGAAATATTATTATTCATTACTATAGAGCTATATGACAATGAAGGCCCTCACTGTCTCAAGCCACTCCATCACATGGGTGCCCCCCTCCTGCAGTCACTTTGCTGATTTTTACTCATTAGGTCCAGGTCAAGCCTGGAATTGACAGAAAGGAACTGCACCCATACAAAGTCTCAAGATGCTGATAAAACACCTTTCAGTATTAAAACTAAGGTATTTTTAGGTTCAAATCTAAAAAAGTCAGGCACACATTCCAAATAGCTTTAACATATTTCTGGTCTGGCCATCATTATTTTCATTTTTCTCAACAAACTGATAGCTCTTAAAATATAAGTCTTTCTCTAAAAATAATGTTATAGGTCTTAGAAAGACTTTCTTCATTTCCCTTCTTGATGTCGAGGGATATTAGGTCTTAGAATGCTAGAAAAGAGGTCTAACCTACATAAACCCATGCATTATTTATAATTTTTCTATTAATAAAAACCAACGATAATGTATTAATTCATTTGTCCCTACATCTGCTCCAAATAAACAATCTGTTTTTTCCCCTAAATTTTAGGTACTATCCATTATGAAAGTTTGTCACATTTACCCTTCCCCATCTTTTCCATATTAAAACTTTCATCATTTAAGATTCACATTGTGCCACCACCTCTGTGGACTGATTTTTTACGATTCCCATTTTCTCCAAGGTTAAGCAATTTACTCTCTTGGCTGTGTTCCTAGAGACAAAGCTTCCATATAACCTTATTAAATACTTACCATACTCTATTATTCAAAAAGCCCTTATTTCCTAACAAACATAGATCATTCTTTGTCATCTCTGAGTTCCCAGCACCTAGCCCAATGCTTGGCATATGTAACAGAGGTCACTCAATGTTTGTTGATTGAGTAAATGCATCTAGGCCAAGAAGGCTGACTTATTAACATCATCTTCTCAATACTTCTTAACTCTTCCCTATAGAAATAAAATTACATTGCTGGTAAGAGATGTCTATATGAGCCGAAACCGGTTTGGCTCAGTGGATAGAGCATCGGCTTGCACTCTATCCACTGGGTTCGATTCCAGTCAGGGGCATGTACCTTGGATGTGGGCACGTCCCCAATAGGGGGTGTGCAAGAGGCAGCTGATTGATGTTTTTCTCTCATCGATGTTTCTAACTCTCTATCTCTCTTTCTTCCTCTCTGTGAAAAATCAATAAAAAAAATTTTTTTTTTTTTTAAAAAGAGAGATGTCTATATGAGATATAATGTAAAGTACTTACTACAGGCATTTTTAAGCATTAAGATAAATTGAGAAACAACTCATTTCTTCCATCTGTCCTACAAGGACACTATCATTCTCATAAAAATAGAAACATTTTAGAATTACTGTATAAGAAACCTCAGAAACCACCCAGGAGCTTAATTCAGGGGCATGGAGATGTTGGTTGAAGGTATGTAAGGTATGGGCCCCTCTCTCTTTATCCTGTCCTGAAAAAAAAGATAATTAGGGAGAAAGGAGAGACTTTTAGAGAAATAGTATATATTCAATAACTACCAATTTTTATCTTCTTAAATCTAAATTTATTAAAATCTATTTATAACTCTGAAAACATATTGCATGCTTTTAAAAACTCCTCCATTTTTATATAAAAAGTTTTTCAATAGTCAAAGATGCAAAAAGTACAAGTCCTTTGTATTTTCTCTAACTTTAAGGGGGGGAAAAAACACAAAAATCATCTCCTCTTTCCTCTTTTTCTTATTTTCTTTATTTCAAAGATGCTTTACCATCTCCCTCCACTCCCTACCCCTTGGGGTGAGACATCTCCCTTATGTAGCTCTGGAGAAAAAGTGATTGTGCCCTAGGAGGGAATAATTTATCTGACTCCGTTTTTAAGGGCCCATTTAATTATAATGATCAGAGA